GAGAGTAGTAAAAAAGTCTATTAGAAAAATTGTGAAACTAAAGGAAAACCCAAACTTGGTAATGGATATGGATACAAAGAATATCAAGGTGCCTGCGGATATCCGCCTGAATCCGCCGTAAATATCCGGATACGGATACGAAAATCCATATCCATTACCAAGTCTGGGAAACCCAAAATAATTTAAAATCCAGTTATATACATATAAAATTGAATTCCAGGAATATGAACGTTTATTTCTTTTGGATAGAATTGAATTTTTATCAAAAGATTTGGAAGCAATTTATAATTTAATTGAAAAGAACCCTAACCAAGATATTGTAGAATTAAGCCATATATTTTGGTTAATTGGAAAAAAATTAGAAATTATATTTGGTGAAAGGTTAAGAGAACTTTTTGGGGAATTTGATTCCGGTTGGCCTATTGATAAACAAAAAGTTGATAATTTAGAAAAAGTAACAGAATCATATGAATTCAATCTTTTTAAAGCAATTGGAGAAATGGTTGATTTCTATAATACAAAAAAGAAAAAGATTCTGACAATTTTAAATACTATACAGATGGTTGAAAATAACGGTAAATTAATCATTAGAGATAAGTTTAAACTATTGGTTGTGTTACCATTATTTCAAAGTCAAGCTAATTTTGAAGGATTTTGGTTCAGTTTTCAAAAAAATTTAACGTGCCTAAAAGAGGGGATTTTAAATAGGGAGAGAGTTTTAAATAAAATCCGGATCCTATGAAGTTGGAAGGGTTTGAGTAGTAAATTAATAAAGAACGGGTGTCTACTACTACGACGGCTTCTTTTAGTTCTTTACTGAACCTGAACCTTAATTTTAAAAATTGGCAGGGATAAATCAGAATTCCGAACCAACTCTGATGAATAGAAATATAAATAAAAAAAATAAAATTTTATTTTAGTTTTGGTTGACCCTTTTGAATCTAAAATGTTTGAATATATAGAAGCAAATAAAGGATCATTTCCTCATGGTTTTGCTAATTTATACTTTGATAATCAAGATAATCAAGATCACAAATCTAAAAAATTAAGTGAAATAATTTCATTTGAAAGTTTGTCAAAAATATTAAATGAAAGAATGAAGGAAAATCTGTTAGGAAAGGGAAGAATATTTTTAATTGAAAAATATTTGTATAGTGAAAAGGTTGAGAAAGATGAGGTAATTTTTTAAAATTTACAGTTGAGATCATAATTAGAGTTGACCAACAAAAATTAAAAAATTTAAATTCAGAGAATTAAAGAATCTGATCGAGTATCCAAATTAATGGTTGTTTTGCTTGCTGCTGTACGTTTACACATTAAACTCCAAGCTTTGTATATTAAAAAGGAAAATTTTGAAATAGTATCAGGGTACTATAAGAATTTATCAGAAATTATGAAAGTAAAAGTATTTAAATATTCTGAAATTGATCATTCAAAAGCAATAGAATTACAAAAAGCTAAAGAAATGAAAATACCGAAACTTTTTAAGGAAATAACTAAAAGAGATTTTGATTGGAATAATGAAAATGATATTATTGAAATTAAAATGCTTAAAACAATTGGTTATTTGCTTGATTTTTATTTTATTAAAGTTCAAGAAAAAAAAATAAAATCTTTGCAAAAACAATCAACGGCAAGTGGAAACTAAAAACAAAGGAAAAAAGAAAGAATGGAAAAAAGAAAAGGACGAGGATTTTCGGTTCGGTTCCGGATATCCGAAGATTTCACAGACATACAACCTAAAATTTCACAAACATACAACCCCCCTCCCCCCCCCCAAATTTCATCTTTTTAAATCGAGTGTTTATTAATCAATTTTTTTTAAATTTCCCCTAAAAAGTTTTAAATTTATTTGTACCCGAAAACTACACTAGTTTTTGCCTTATTTTTAAAAGAATTTTTCACCTTCTATATTTTTAATTTTCTCCCTAAGCGTTTAAATTTATTTGACTTTTTTTACTTTTACTCACCATATGTACATTCAAGTTATTTACACCAGGGATTATGTAAAACCCTAAACATTTACCTCAAAATTTTTGACCATTGACAAAAGATAATCTCTCTAATACATCACCTCTAGTTCCAAATTCAGTTAACCTGTGAAGGAAAGTGATATGGGAAGAGTGACAGATTAGAGAGATTAAACTGTATATTTTTTTATTTAAATTTTTTATTATTTAAACAAAATTTTCATTTCTGTTATTTTAAATATATTTTTTTGGGTAAACATAAAATTGGTTGATTTTTTATTTTTATAAACTCCGACAATCTAGTCATTATTTTAACAAAGTGATTACAGATTCTGGATAAGCGGAGTGATCTAGTTGTATACGGGGATGTTGTATACTTATAACGTATTATAATGTAATATTATAATTAATAAATCCCACTCGGATTATTTCCGTTATTTTGTTACGTAATAACAGTTTTTCTGTAACAGACATAACTTCAAATTTAATGCACTAGAAAATCATATTAAAAATGGGCGAGACTTTCAAAGCATCGTTAATGAAAAATAATTATTTTTATTATTATTTAATTTAACAGACTAATCTACGTGAAAAATTATTTATTTTTAATTTATTTTTTCGAGCTCATTCATCATCCCCACATTCAACATTTTGAGCCTTTGGTTTAGGTGATGGAAAAGGTTTAAATGTTGGACGATGTTTACGTGTTGGATGTGGACGTTTTGAAGGGTGTGGAGGGTGTGTTGGGTGTTTTGGATGTTTATGGTGGTCGTTATTCTTTAAATTAATTAAAAGGATTTTTAATTTTAAATTAAAAGAAAACCTTTGCCAAACTTCCAGCAATTATTAAAAGAATTGAAAATAAAATTAAGAAAAATTTACAATTCATTTTTTTAGATTAATTAATTTAAGAGGAATTTAAGTTTGTGTTAATTATTAACTAAAATTTAATTCTTTATAAAGCCAATTAATTAACAGATGTTTAAACAAATCAAAATAATATTTTTTTAAATATTTTTAAGCCTACTCATTTTATTTTGTACTTTATTTAAATATTTAAAATTTATATAATTTTCAATAATATTGTCTAGAAAATTTTAATATTTTTTAAAATTAAATAAAAACAAAATATAAAAATATTTTTCCTAATATTTTAATTTGCACTTAACTCACCTGTTAACTAAAATTCTTATTTGTAATTATTTATAAAATTAAAAAAACAGTCTAAAATTTGGTGTATATATAAATTATTTTAAATTAAATATTTTTAAATTAATTCCCAAATTCATTAAAAAATAAAAATAAATAATTAACACAAACTTGAATTCCTCTTAAATTAATTAATCTAAAAAAATGAATTGTAAATTTTTCTTAATTTTATTTTCAATTCTCTTAATAATTGCTGGAAGTTTGGCAAAGGTTTTCTTTTAATTTAAAATTAAAAATCCTTTTAATTAATTTAAAGAATAACGACCACCATAAACATCCAAAACACCCAACACACCCTCCACACCCTTCAAAACGTCCACATCCAACACGTAAACATCGTCCAACATTTAAACCTTTTCCATCACCTAAATCAAAGGCTAAAAATGTTGAATGTGGGGAGGATGATGAATAATTTAAATAAATTGATATACCTAAATTCTTTTTGTTTAGGTTAAATATAAAATAATTATAAGCATTAGGCATATTTAATTATAAATTTAAAGTTAATTTTTTTATATAAATGAAGCATTTAATTTAATTTGATGTATGAGTAAAAGAGTTTAGCAAGAGTCTAGCCACCGGCAGGATTCAACCTGCGATAGCGCCTTATGTGATTTCTGTAGGTGAAATCAGTTATGTGGAGGGTGTTCTCTGAAAAAATTGTATAAAAAATTTTTAAATGGAAATTTTTTCGATTTCTCGGGTTTATATGAATTGCTACCCGCTTTAATAAATACAAAATAAAAATCAGCCCGATTGATTTGATAGAAGTTAAGAAATTCGAAAATTTATGGTGAACTTATACAGTCGTGGAAAAAAGTATGGAAGCGCTAGAAAATTTTTTCTTATTTCTTAATTTTTCATTCAAAAAATACGTTCTATATACCAATCGAAAGCTCTATTCGTATCTCAGTTGACATTTTTCTGCATTTTTCATGAAAATAAAAATTGGCCGAGATAATCCGGATCTACCGGATATACCAAATCCCACTTTTTCGGAAAAATTTTTCGGAACAAATTTAACAAACCCAAATGATAAAGCATATTTTTGTGAGCATTTACCACAAAACTGCTTAGAAATATCTTTCTCCGGAGCAGAGATATGATTTTTCGAAAATGGCATTTTTCGTCTATTTTTGCAAAAAATTCAATTTTTAAGCGAAAAATGCGATTTTCAAAAAATCATATCTCTGGACCGGAAAAAGATATTTCTAAGCGGTTTTGTGGAAAATACTCAGAAAAATATGCTTTATCATTTGGGTTTGTTAAATTTGTTCCGAAAAATTTTTCCGAAAAAGTGGGATTTGGTATATCCGGTAGATCCGGATTATCTCGGCCAATTTTTATTTTCATGAAAAATGCAGAAACATGTCAACTGAGATACGAATAGTGCTTTCGATTGGTATATAGAACGTATTTTTTGAATGAAAAATTAAGAAATAAAAAAAAATTTTCTAGCGCTTCCATACTTTTTTCCACGACTGTAGTTATGTGGACCAGTTTATTTCATGTTAATTATTGATACTTAATATCCTTTTATGTTAATTATTGATACTTAATATCCTTTTATGTTAATTATTGATACTTAATATCCTTACCTATAGTCTACCAAAATTTGAAGCAGATCCATTTAATATTTGGTAGGATATTGATAAAAACTAGGTGGCGCTATCATTTTGTTACAGACGTACATATTTTAAAATTCAAAATTTTCGTTTTTAATTTTTTATCTATTTCAGAAATTTATAAAATAATAAATATTTTTAAATTAATTTCAATCTCTCTACTTAACAATAAAAATCAAAAATATTTATTAAAATTTTATGTAGATTTATTTTGTAAAAACTGTAACATTAAAGAATCCATTTGCCAGAGATCAAAAAATTGAACTATATGATGACTTTCAACAAAAGTATTTGCTGTATCCTATAAAAAATTTAAATAATTTTCACAAAAATATTCGAATAATTACAATAATCGGTGTTAATAATAAAATAAGATTTCCAAAACGCTCAGCTTTTTCTAGTTGATTTGAATTAAATTCTGTTTGGCTGCCATAAAATTTATAAAGAGAAGAACAAAGAGAATCTAATTCTCGACTAACTAATGCACGTCCAGTAAATGATATATCGGGAAGAGCTTTAAATAAAGAGAATATTAAATTGAAAATCAAAAATTAATTTTAATTAAAAATAAATTTTATGGGAAATTAATTGAAAATAAAATTTACAAAAAATGCCCAGGTGTGGAAATAATTTGAAATAATGATAAAAATTTAATTTTAAATAATTCTTATTTAATGGGTGAATTTACTATAAAATTCTTAACAAATTTAAGTCAAAAAACCGTAAATCCACTAAAATGGCTATGGTCAGAGGAGGGATATTTTAAATCGGCGAGGGAGGGGGGGGGGATTTCAGGTTCATTTATTTCAGAGGAAGGGGCATTTCAGAGAAAATACGGTAAATTTAAAATTTAAATAAATATTCTGTATTTCCAAAATTTTTAAAATGCTTTAAAAAATTAATTACTCATTTGGAATGCAACAATAGCTTTTAATGCCACAAATTCCTCATATTTTAATCCTAATTTAAGCATAGGTGAAACACACCCACTCATTAAAGGAACGAGAAGAGGCCAATAAATTCTTTTAAAAAAATTTAATTTTTTATCACTGTAATAATTTATATTTACTTAATTTTAGTTTCATGTGATATTTCAGGTTCATCAGCCCAACAACCTTCATCTAAGGGAGGGAATTTTGTAGAAACATAACCACCATTAGGTAAAACAAATTTTTCTAAATCACCCATTTGAATAGTTAAAAAACAAGGATCCAAAACTGTGTGGTATAAAACACATTTACGTAAAAGGGTTACCTAAAAATAAATATAATTTGATTAATTTTATTTTTCTAAATTTAAATTAAGGAATTAGTAAAATAAGAACAAAAAAGGTTCGAGGGAGACTTTGGATTAAGCCAAAACACTTTTAAATTTAGGAGGACCTAGAATGGCCATTTAATCATAAAATTTTCCTAAAGGGTATTTTTTAAGTATTTTATACATGTATTTTTATTTCTAAACTTTAAAAAAAATAAAATTTAATTCTAAACTCTATCTTTCATATTAAGATCAGAAAAGGCCGGCCAAACACGTAACCATTCATAGACTAATAAAATATGTGTTCGTATTGAACGTCTAAATTCTTGGAATGATAATGGTTTAATGTCTTCACGTGTAAATGGCTAAATAAATAAATTAAAAATTATATATACATATTTTTATTTTATAAAAAAATTATTTTTAAATTATTCCCCAAAAAATCCAAATTAATTTAAAATATTAACACAATTTTTGCTTTCTCCCAATAAACAAGCAACTGGCCGTTCACAAAACAAAATTCGCCTCCTTTCTGCAATCCGCATTTCCTCTTTCACTAATAATGAAAGTAAATCATAATTGTTATTATTAATTGATGAAGAAGAAAATAAAGGGGAGGGTTGTTGAATTGATAACTTTTAAATTAATTTTTAAATTTTAATTAATTAAAAATACATTTAAGGGGGTATTTCCTCTTTTTGTAGAAGAACAATTAGTAGAAGATGAAGACGGGGAATGAATTGATGGGGATAGGGAAGAACTGCTACTGGTAGATTCATTTGGAGAAACAGTTATGATATCTATTTTCTCAAATACCTAGAAAAATAAAATTTTTAATTAATTGTTAAATTTATAATAAAAAGATAAAATTAAATTCATAAATATTTTTAAAGAATTATTTGGTTGATTTTATATTTTTTTAATAAAAAATTTTTTAGGTATTTAGATTTACTTTAAGAGCTCCTTTAGCAAATTTTTTATTTCTTTCAAGTCCAGATTTTGTAAAATAATTTCTTCCATTTTTTGCATTAATATTAGTTTTTTGGGGTGTTTGGACATTATTTGGGTTCATTCCAACAGTTAAACATTTTTGAAATCGGCAAGAACGACAAAGAATTTTTTGTTCTTAAATATATTTTAGAAAAAATAAAAGCTACAAAATAATTTTTTATTAAGGTTTTAAACAGTGGGTTTATTCCGTATAAATACCGTAAATGCTGAAATAATTACCCTCTCTCAAATAATTACCCTTTCTAATAATTACACCCTGTTTTTTTACGCAATCTTTAAAAATATTTTAAAAATTATGATTAAATTTAATTATTGTAACATTTTAAAACTTAATATCAAAAAATAAATTTCTCCTCAAGTAAATTGAGATATATCACAAATCCTAGCGTAATTATTTCAGCATTTACGGTAATTAATTATTTTTTATATTAAAGATATTCTTTCCACTAAATATTTAATACACTTACTAAAATGAATATCGCATAAAATACTTGAAGAATTTTCTGATTCTTCATTCTCTTCATTTTTGTCAAACTCTTTAGTATTAGATTCACTTTTTTTCTTTTGTTGGCAAATATACTCCCGTTTAAGACTAACAGCACGTCTGAAAAATGCACAACAAGCTTGGCATGATTGGGCACCAAAATGGAAACCAGTTGCATGTGCATGACAAATAAAACAATCAAAATTACCTTCAGAATCCATTTTATAATTTTTAGAGGAAAGAATGGAAATAAATTAACAAATTATGTTAATTAAATAAAAATCAGGAGAGTTTGCAAATAACTGATAAGATAAAAAAAAGTAAAAGCATTTATGAATACAAATCTTTTTGTATAACAAATGTTAGCGATCGATTGAAGGAAAAAAGAAAATAAATTTTAACTGAATGTTTAAGCAGTAAAATAAAATTAAAAAAAAAACACATCAGCTGACTTTTTTGAAAAAAATAATTTTATATAAAAATAATTGGAAAATTAAATTATGAATAAATAATTATGATCATGTTTATTGTGTTTGAAAATAAAGGAAAATTTTGTATGTAGATTTTTATTCAACATTTATTGGAGAATTAGGCTGGTCTTTACCTGTTTTTAGAAAATTTTTCACTTTTCTAAATTCTTTAAAGGGACCAGAAAATACTGTGAAAGTTATGGCGGTATGACTATAAAACAGGACCTCATTCCAATAATTTTTAAAATTTTTAATCCGCAATTGTCAAATCCGGCTTGTAGTCAGGAATTGTCGTACGTAATTATCTCATCCACATTCGCGCATCGGCAATGGTCGTAACACTAAGGTTATTAATTTCAATTAAATTTTACTAAATAATTTAAATATTTTGGTAAATATTTTTGTAAAAGATTTTATTTTTCTAGACATTTTTATTGAAAATTTAATTTTTAGGTAGAGTACATCTAGGTAAAGTACATATTAAAATGCGTAGGTTTTCGACAGAAATAATTTCAAAATATTAAAAAAATATTATTTAAAAATATTTGTTTAAACATCTGTTAATTAATTGGCTTTATAAAGAACTAAATTTTAGTTAATAATTAACACAAACTTAAATTCCTCTTAAATTAATTAATCTAAAAAAATGAATTGTAAATTTTTCTTAATTTTATTTTCAATTCTTTTAATAATTGCTGGAAGTTTGGCAAAGGTTTTCTTTTAATTTAAAATTAAAAATCCTTTTAATTAATTTAAAGAATAACGACCACCATAAACATCCAAAACACCCAACACACCCTTCAAAACGTCCACATCCAACACGTAAACATCGTCCAACATTTAAACCTTTTCCATCACCTAAACCAAAGGCTCAAAATGTTGAATGCGGGGATGATGATGAATAAATGAGTTTGAAAAATAAATAATTAATTTTAGATTAAATTATATATACATATATATAATTATTTTGTTAAATTAAATAAAAATAATTATTTTCATATATTTAAAGAGTTATAAACATTAAAATTTTTCAAAGTAGAGTTGGTGAGTTAGCTTTCGCTCGTTTTCTTAATTGATATTTAGTAAAAATAAATTTTTTTTTAATTACTTAAAATTTAAAATTTATTTGAATTAATTTAACAAAAAATAACAAGCTTTTCATTATTTTCTAATTCTTATTTTCAATTATTTCAATTAGATTTTATTTTATAAGAATTCTCAGTTTATTAACAAAATTCTAAAGTATGAAAGCCAATTAGACTTTCCCAATTCTTTCGGTCACTTTCTTCAGTTCCTATAATTTTATCAATTGCATTTCGATGATAAAAAGCATTTGTGTCCATCTTTTTAATTATAAATAAATTAATTTATTTTAAATTATTTAAATTACCAAAATATTTTTCTCTTTATTTTGTGATATTATTATACTACAATTTGGACCCATTGACGTTACACCAAGAAGAAACCATCGCCTTATACCTCGTGAATCTATAAACTGGCTAATCAAACCTCCACCACTGTCTCCCTTTAAACAAAATTTTTTAATTTAAAACTAAAAATATTTTTAATTAGAGTTTTTTTTGAAAATTAAATTAATCAAAAACAAAAATAATGGGTTTATTTAATTAGAAAGGCCAAGACTTTCAAGTCAATTAAAGAAATTATTTTCCAAAAATAATTTTTTTCCAACACTTAACTGAGCATGTGCTTATATTTCCTGGAGACTTTATACAAAGAATATCTTCATAATATTTTATAACATTGTCTTTACAATCGTTTTGGTTCATTAAAGAAGTTAATTTAGCCTTTTGTAGAAATGATGAAGACTTTACTTGCCCATCAAAATTAACAGCTATTTTAAAAATTAATTTATAAAAATTAATTTATTTCAATTATTACATTGCCCCCATCCAAATACAACAGGGGATGCCAGCTCTGTCCAATTAAGTCTAACTTTTTCATCCAAATGAAGTAAACACTTTAAAATATTTTAAATAAATTATTTTAATTTATATTTCTCGCATAAATAATTTTCATTAAATAATCTCTAACAAAATTTTATTTAGCTAATTCTAATTTAATTACTACAAATTCTTAAAAATCTAAAATCAAACAAAAATTGCTTTTTAAGATTATGTCTAAAAGTTTTGGAATTAATTACCCCAACAATATTTTTTCATGAATAATTTAATTCGTAAACTCAAATCTGCCCTTCTTAATTCAGTTTTTAGTAAATCTTGACAAGGATTTTGGTTGGGTACCTTGACCAGATTCTTGACCTTGAGCAAGCAAAAATCAAGGAACTCTGAAAAATGCCTTGATCTGGACTCTGGATCCAGGAAAAATCAAGGTCTGGATCCAGATCCAGCTCGCTCTCTAGTTTTTAGGAATAATATTTTCTTTTCTATAAGTTAAATATAATTAAATTATTACAATATGATTAGCAATATTTGCTGGTACTGTTACTTTCTCATTGCTATCATCTTCAAAATTACTATTTTGATCATGTGGAATAGAGCGCCCTAATTCTATTATTGCATAATCTCCTTTTAAATTATAAATATTTTAAAAATTAAATTTAAATAAATAATTACTTCCAACACAAAATTTTTTAAAATAATGTTGATATGTGGCACTTAAATGTTTGAAAAAAAAATTAAATTTTAAAAGATAATTTTTATAAAAATATTTTGTTCAATTTTAAACAAATAAAATTACTTTTTTATTGTATATTTAATTGCGTGTTTAGGTAATTTACAATTCTTTAGTACTGAATTATCTCCAACACAAATACTTCCAATATGAACAAAATATTTTGATTTAACTGTTTTAATGTCAACGGCATCGCCCTTTCTTTAAAATTTTTATTTTATAAAAAATTTATATAAATTTAGCAAAAATACATAGTAGGTAGATAATAGTGTTGGGGTTAGGAATCGGGCCTCCAAGTCCCAGGCCTAATTTTTCTCGAATCGGGACGAGTCTTTTTTTGTAATTTATAATTTTATTTTTGCTAAATTTATATAAATTCGATCCTTAGAACCTAATCGGGCCCCGAACCCTAATAGATACTTAAATTTTATTTTTTAATTTATTTAATTTCATTACTTGCAACATTTTCTTTTTTTCTTATTGTCAAGTTTACATGAAAAATTAACGACTTTTTTCCTAAAGCAATGGGCAGCTGTGAGTACATGACGTTTAGAGATAAGTACTCCAGTACACCTCACCACTGGAGTTATTAAATAAGCAGCCCAAGGATATTCACCTTCACGAACTCCTTCTCCACCTAATACCTTTTAAAAATAGCAAAATATTTCAAGAAAATTCTATTAAACTTTTAAGTTTTTAGAAATTTACTTTTAATTCTGATATCGTCATCCTTTTGGAACGTTTATTGGATGGCGATGGAATTGATAAACCACAACGAACTGGGTCTGGGAAATTATATAATGAAGAATAAAATAAATGTATTTATTAGAAATGTTTTATGATTGGGGACGAAATTTGAGTAATTTATGAAATATGTTGTGAAAATATACTTAAAATCTTCCTATTTTTAAGAGAATACAAGATTGCTTAAAATCGAAAAAATGTGATTTGGATATTAAACTCAATTGTTTTTAAGAAAATACACATTTAAGCAAACCATAGGCATCAAATCCGGCTAGCCAATTAGCTGGGGCAAACCTAAATTCTTGAAGAAATAAAGGAAGATTAGAAATAATTAAAAATAAATATATAATAGTTGTCATTAATTCTAAATATTTTTTTGAAAGTATGAAGTAAAATTAAAATTAATTAAAATTTAATTGAATAATTTAATGATCAAACATTTATGTACATTACATTAAAATGTTTGTAAATCTCATAAAAATGTGAAAATAAATTTATGAATCATTGTTAAACTTTTAGCATTATTTAATAAATGGACACTTGTTTTTGTAGACTTTCTTCAACATAAGCTAATCTTTTAACTTCTCTTTTTTCGGAGCTATTCGAGGGAGGGGGTCAACGATCGTGGATCTGTTTATCAATTTTTCTCTAATTTTGCAATATTGCATTGACCGAAGGGCAAATTTTGCGGACTTTTGCCCGCAAAATTTAATCTTCATTTGCAGGCCATCCACCATTCAAATCGGTTAACGTGCTCCGTTCTATCCAATCGAACTTCAATTGCATGAAATTGACAAAACAGCTCCTCGTTCGACTAATCTCCCAATCTGTTATCTATGAGGAACTCTGCACGATTTGTTAAGCCACATTTTCGATGGAACAAAAGTGTGCGTAATATGTCCACAACATTAACGGCACTCTTTAGATGATTCACAGACAGGTTGCCAATGACCTTGACTCCTAGCAGCTGTCGACTCCGCTGTCGCCAATGACGTTGACTCTTGCACCGGAACGTTGACTCCTTCGCACCTGAATGTTGACTTCATGCAGCGGCCGACCTTGCGCTTGAACGTTGTCTCCCAGCAGCGGTTGGCAATTGAATGTTGATTCCTAGCAATGTCTGACTTGGTCTATTTTTAAACGGCATTGAAAAATGACCAAAATTGACTGCTTTTATACTATCTTCTTACCCTTAAAACCTAATTCAACTGGCAACGCTTTACTATAAAAGCCTCCATTTCCTTTCTCCCCTAATCATTTGACCTTGACTCGTAGCAGCTATCGACTACGTACTCTTAACTCTTAATTAGTAATTCTCATAATATCATTCGAAAGGGCTCAAGATTTAACATCTTTTTTATACTTGGCCCGATCTGATCTGATCATTTCAAAAAAAGTTACAACGGAAAACTGATTTTTTCTGCCTGAGACATTGTATAGCAGTGTTAACTTTTTGTAGAATTATATCAGATCAGTCCAATTATGGAAAGATGCCAGTTGAGCGTGCCTTGTTAATTGACCTGTTGAGCGTACAAAGGGGAATTTTGTTCCAAAGATGGGAAAAGTTGCTCAAGCGACGAGGGGAGTTGTTCCGACTATAGGGGAAGTTGTTCCAAAGATGGATTCCCAATCAATTGAATCCATCTCCCCATCGCTGGAACAACTTAATCATCTTTGGAACAAAATTCCCCGTTGTACGCTCAACTGGCCAATTAACAAGGCACGCGCAACTAGCACTCTCAAACGGCCCACGTCCAATTGTCCTTACACTCAATCGGCCACGCTTAACAGGCCCGGTCTGCTAAATTGTGGCGTAGTGACAGAAGACCCACAGACAGAAGACCCAAGGACAGAAGACCCACAGACAAAAGACCCACAGACAGAAGACCCACAAAGACAGAAGACCCAAAGACAAAAGACCCACAAGAAAAATTTTTTAACCACCAGTTTAAAATAACTTTCTAAAATTTTTAAAAAGACTTAGCAATTTTCTAGGCACAAAATTAACAAAAATAATTGTAAATTATAAAAAAATTTTTATCTAAAGTTAATAGATAAAATTTTAGAATTAAATTTTAGGGATCAGTGAGATTTATTCATTAGATTGGAAAGGGATTTGAAGAGGCGGGTGATTAATTGGGATATGTGGGGATACCGTTGGGTTTAGATATATAGGTGTAAAACCTCAGATCCAACGAAATCATTTCTTATACATAAAATGGGTATAACAGGAATATGAAGAAAATTTTTAAAAAGACTTATCAATTTTCTAGGCACCACGATATTTTTCTTAACCAATAAATCGGATATATCAGGGGATTTTAAGGTTGTAACGGCTTTAATCATTTTAAGGTTTTATAATCCCACCAATCCGCTTTTATCCTCCGATACACCTCCATTTACTGAGAAATAATGACTAATCTCTGCTAATCCCAGAGATCCCCAATATCCTTGCTTATCTCAAATACCCTTGATCACTTCTAATCCTATATGCTTCCATATGGGCTTAACTGACACTCACTAAAATCCAGTTAATCCTAAATATTCCTTGATCCTAAATATACCTCTGATCTACTTTTCGCTGTCATCGTCGGGAATTTTGAAAATTAGAAAGGCCAATGAGAAATTTTTTATACTATTTTTATATCGGACCCTGACCGGATCTAGTATTTTTTGACTAAACCACCGGATTTTCCTGATCAAAATCCAGAAAATTCCCATCATTGGAACAACTTAACCCGTTGTTGCAAGAACATTCCCCATTGTTAAAATAACATCCCCGTTGTTGGAACAACATCCCAAATTGTTGGAACAACCTTCCCTAATATTGAAACAACTTTCCAGTTGTTGGTTCAATTTCTTATTGTGGAAAACAGATAGAACTAGCAACATCCCTCGCGCCAACATTTATGCACAATAAAAGGGATAAAAAATATTTGTGGGTCTTTTGTCTGTGGGTATTCTGTCCTTGTGGGTCTTCTGTCTGTGGGTCTTTTGTCTGTGGTTCTTCTGTCCTTGGGTCTTCTGTCTGTGGGTCTTCTGCGTCGACACGCTAAATTGTCTTTAACTTGACAAATTGCCAATGACTAATTTCGCCAATAAGGCTAAAAACACCACTTTTGCTACTAACAAGTAAAACATTTTTTTGTTTTTTTATTTCAATTTAAAGATCTAAATAAATTCTATCTGCTTATATTTAATTTAAAAATATGGGAAATGATCAAAGTGGCGTTCGCAGTCGAAGTCAAGGCAGTAAAGAATTAAATTCTCCAACAATCTCGATGGGCGTTCCTGCTTCCTTCTCATTTTTAGCTCGAAAAAGTTTCTCAAACTGATTTTTATTTAAAATTATTTTAAATTTAAGGAAATTCAACGAAAAGTTTGTTGTCGACAAGTATTGTTGTTGTAAATGATGGAGCATCAACTTCAGCCTCAATTAGCGATGTGAATGCCGAATTGGATTTGAGGAGGATTAAGGTTTTAAATTAAACTACATTTTTTAATTCTTACAAAAATTAACAGGAAATCCCTCATTTCCTTCCATTAATGCAGGGTGTTTTGCCTGGTTATCGAGATCTACCTGAAATTCTTTTGAAAATTGATTCTCGTCCAATTTATAGATTTCTTCAGCGATTACAACAACATTTTCGGGAATGTACTGAAGCAGTCACGACAGAACAAGGAAGAATATTTGCACATATTGTTGAGGTTTTTTTGTGAATTTATTGGTTGACTCTGCCCATATTTGCGGTAGAGGTCGGGTCGGGATCCCGCGCGGAATTTTGCGGGATACCGCTCCCGTGTTCCCGTACTTTTTTCGATTTGCGGGAGTGCGGGATTATTCCCGCGGGAGTTACTCCCGTACACTTTTTTTAAAAATTACTCCCGCATGCGGGTTCCCGTAAATACGATTTTTCCGACCTCTAGTTTGCGGACTTTTTGTTGCGGATTTGTTTTCTTTTTCTTTATTGGGCAGAAAGTATTAGTCATCCCCAATTTTTCATTTTCTTTTTTGTCTTGCTAGATTGGGGAATAGCCAAAAATAGTCAATAAAAATGGGTTGGGGTAACCTTTGAATTTTTTCAATTTTTAATAATCAATTTTAAAAAATTATTTTAAAAGATTGACCAATTAGCTCTGTCTTTGGTAAAGAAAGTAACAAATAGTAATAAAAAATTGGACGTTTTGGGAAATGAACTAAAGAAGGTTGTTGTTATTTCTGAACAGATTGATACTGCACAGGTTTCTTCGAATTTTTTAAATATTTTTTTAGAATATTTTGAAATAAAAATTGGTAATTTATTAAGTATTTAATTTTAACTGAAATATTCCCTTGGAAACACTTAGATTTTATAATAAGGACTTGTCTTTTTTTTGTGTGTCGGTTTAGTCCATAATATTCTTTTAGACTTCGCAAATTTATTAATTTGGCAAACAGATTTTTTTGGTAATATTGAACCTGACAGACCCCATTTTTTCCTCCCCAAGTTTTTTCCTATATATTTGCAGAATAGTCAAAAAAGCCAATTTAACATTCGTTTCGTCCATTCCAATTGCTTTTCTAATTTTGCTTACAAGCAATCAAGAGGAATTAATTTTTATTACCCCTTGTATGGAAGAGATTGTAAAATTGAGATGGAAGAAAGGAAAAAGTTGACCATTTTGCAAATATATAGGAAAAACATGGGGAGGAAAAAATTACTCTGTCAGCTTCAATATTACCGATTTTTTGACTAATTCTTTAATTTTATTTTTGATCTTCTATATTTCTATTTTTTTTAATTTCGATTTTCCATACTTTCATTTAAGACACCAATAGAATTTAAAAAATTTTTGGTACTTTCCGTTATGCCACATCCCCCTAAATTAATACCCAAAAGGTCATATATAGGGTAATAAAAGGTGCTGACAAGGGAACATTCCGAACTGTCAGTAAAAATTTCAAAATAAAACTTATACCATCGTGTAGAGCGTGATCGAAAACGTATCATGGTTACTTTCTTTTTTGGCTCCGACCCCCATTTCGAAAAGTTATAGGGGTTCAAAGTTTCCTACTTTTGGAACGGTTGAGTCTCCCTCGCTACTTTTATTAAAGAAAATTTTTCTCCTCCATAAGAGAAAAATAAGACTCCCATCCTTCTTTTTTCCTTTCCTTTTCTTTTCCAACATTAGTTAGAGAAAGAGAAAAGGGGGAGAGAAAAGAAAAGGAAAAGAGGCGTCTCTGCCTTGCAGCTAATGTCAATTAAAAAGGAAAGAGGAAAAAGGCACAGATGTCTCTTTTCCTTTTCTTTTCTCTCCTCTTTTTCTCTTTCTTTAGACAGCACAGGAAAAGAAGAGGGAAAAAATAAAAGAGAAAAGGAGTCTCATTTTTCCCTTTAGGAAGAGAAATAATAAGAAAAGTGAGGGCGACTCAACCGTTCCAAAAGTAGGAAACTTTGAACCCCTATAACTTTTCGAAATGGGGGTCGGAGCCAAAAAAGAAAGTAACCATAATACGTTTTCGATCACGCTCTACACGATGGTATAAGTTTTATTTTGAAATTTTTACTGACAGTTCGGAATGTTCCCTTGTGAGTATATGACATTTTGAACATTAATTTAGGGAGGTGTGGCATAACGGAAAAGTACCAAATTTTGCATTTAATTTTTATTTTTTTTCAGATTTTATTCAAAGAACTGTCTCGTTGTGCAGAATCATTAAATCAATTATTACCTTTAGAAGAACAATTAACCCCTTTGTCCATTACATTTAAACCAATTTTGGAACAAAAAGTTAAAAAAAATTCTCAAACAAATGAGGAAGAATTGGGGTGGACAAAGGATAATGAAGGGAGAAGTTTTTTGGCTGGAAGAGTAAATGAATGTAGAGTTGTTGACAGTGATTGTTTTTAATTTAAAAATGTTCAAGAGTTTTTATGGTTTTTTAAATTCTAGTCTCTTTATGTATTTTTGGAAACTTTCGAATTTAAAACTTGTTTTTGGTCCTTCGGTGCCAAAAATTCGGCGCAGAAAAATTTTCCCTATTGGCCCCCTAAAAAATCCTGGCTACGGGCCTGATCTAGGCTAACATTGCGTGGGTGTACCACTAATCCTACAATTTGATGACCCAGAATTCAGAACCTCCCCTCTATTTTTTAAAAAATAAAAAGATTTTCTTTCATGGATTTGCAAGTTTTAATTTCCAAAAGCTTTCGACGCAACATTCACTTTATAAACATTTACCAAAGAATTTTTCAATCTTCTTTAAACATACCTTAAAATTACCTAACATTTTCTAAAAATGTTTGTTTTTTCATAATTTTCATAAAAATAAATTTAGCATCAGAATTTATTTTTTTTTCTACTTTTTAAATCTCTTAATTTTGATTTTTATATTTTAAAATTCTGCCACTTAAAAAATATTTTAGTAACAAAAAGAATTATGCCTTTAATTGCACCACCGCCAAAACCTGGTCGGATACGTGTTTACCGAGTGATTGATAACTTTTTACAAGATGAGGTTATATTTAACAAGATTATGGGAATTTTTGAATAGGAATAAGGATACCTTTTTAGTGTTAAATTGAAAATCAAGCTGTGTTGTGTTGGGAGGAGTTTTTTCACATTTCACAATTTTTACTTTGATTTTGACATCTCTTGGAAATATTGTCATATGTTATTCTCATTAAGAGTTTTCGCTCTTTAATCATCGTTGCTTAAATAAGATTTTCCAAATATAACACTGAACTACGCCTTAAAATTAAAAAAATTATCAATCTTTTTTCAGTATAATCCACTATCATTAACTATTGATGATATTGTTTATTTACGCGAAACAAAAGGAGATGCTTTTGAATTAAAATGTCCCCAAAAGGGCTCATCATTGTCAGAACTCTACAAAAAGGAAATTGTTGAAACAAAATTGGAGCTTATTGAATTCCCTTTACACGAAGCTGCCAAAATGGGGGATTGTAATTTTTTAAGGGAATGTTTGGAAAATAAGGTATTCCCAGCTAAAAAATATTTAAAAATTTATTTTTAAATTCAGGTATCCGTAAATAGCCTAGATCGATCCTCTTCTACAGCATTACATTGGGCTGCCTATACGGGACATTTTGATATTTTGGAAATTTTATTGACAATTTCTAATGTTGCCATATCAGCACAAGTATCCACTCAATTTTTAAATCTTTTCCTATTTTTTTATTTACTAGAATAAATTGGGTGATACCCCTCTACATGCTGCTTCCTCCAAAGGTCGAATTGAATGCGTCCAATTACTCGTCGATTCTGGAGCTAATTTACAAATAAAAAATTCGCAGGGGAAACGTCCTATTGATGTAGCAATAAATCCAGAGATTGCTTCTTTTCTACAAACAACAATGTCGGAAAGGGGGTTAACTGAATTGGAAGCTGCTGATTATTTGGGTGATGAAGAAGATGAGGAATCCATTGGTGATTAAAAATGAATGAATTGGAAGTTGTACTTAAATTGGAGATTGTAATATACTTATAAAATTACTTAGGTACTCATGTGTTATGCTCCAGCATTTTCCTTTTCTTCTCCTTTTTCCTAATTTGATCGGCTATAATTTTTATACACTTGATCAAATCCGTCTAGCTCTTATATCATTCGAAAGCCCTTGATAAGTGCTACCCTCTTCCAACTGCATGGATCAAATTTGATTGTTCAGTAAAAGGTTACAACTCGAAAATTGCAAGAAATCGTTGTTTTTCACAGTTATCGTCTTGTAACTTCTTAATGGGTGATCAGACTTGATCCTCCCATTTGGGAAAAAGATAGGTCTTTTCAAGAGCTTTTGAAAGAGGAGATTGCGGAGATATAACACAAGAATATCTAAAATTATTAATTTTAATTAACATTTTGAGATATGTGATTTTTAAATATTTTTCTTAATTTTTTTCTAAATATTTCTAATTTTTTAGAAAATAAAAATATGTATACACAAATGTTTATTAAAATTTTACCTAATAAATATACCGTATATGCTCGAATAATTACCCTGGGTAATTATTATTTCTACCTAACGCTGGAGGGGGTAATTAATCATGAAGAGGTGCTAAATTTGGAGTATATCTAAATAGATCGAGGAGGAAATTGAGTTATTTTTTTGATATTATGTCTTAAAATGTTTCAATAATTAAAAATAATAATGATATTTTCAATATTTATTCTTGAAATTTGTGTAGGAAAAAGAGAGGGTAATTATTCGAGCATTTACGGTATATTTTTAAGCAAAATATATGTAATTATGCAAATTTTTAGCTTTCTTTAAAATTTTGCAAAAACTGTCGCAAAATTTTTGTTTACGTTGAAATTTTAGAAATTTTAGCGGCGAAAGAGAAGCAAGTGCATGTTTTCATGCGGATATGCCATAATGAGAGAAGCCCAAAAACGATGTTTTTACTTTGGGGAAATCCTAATGGGGGAAAAATTAAGACAATGTTTAGGGATTATTTGTTTTTTTTTACAAAAGTTTGTGGGTGCTTAAACTTTCTTGACGGAGTGTATGTAAATAGTTCTTTAAAATTTATAAATTAAATGTATAAAATAAAAATAAGAAAAATTAAAAAGTTTGAAATTTTTAACTTCAAAATAAATTTACTTTTAACTACTTTGTATCAGAATATTTTTAACAAGATCCAACTTTATCGTATCACAATTATAAAATAAAAAATAAATTTAGGTAATTTAAAATGTATGTTTTTCCATATTTTTTAATTTCCTTTATTTAGTATTAATTTTTTTTGAGCATTTTGTTACCAATAATTATTTCGGTTTCTTTGTAGTACCATTATGTAAGCTTTTGTTGTGTAATGGATTAGGACCATAAGGCACTTTACGACATGATGAAAATAAAAATAAAAAAAATATTAAAAAGAAAATTTTAATTAATTTCATTTTTATTTTGGTAATATTTTAAATTAAAAACTCTAAAATAAAAAAGTATTAGGGCTCTGATTTTTAGGTTAGAACCTATTTTTTTTTGCAAAATAGTTATGATGAATTGAGCTTAAATCCATTGTTATTTTTTAAGAATGTTTTGTTTGCAGGGAGTTATTGTCACCTAAGATAAGTTGTAACCTATTATGAAGGCTTCTATGCTTTTGTCACCTATTTTGAGCAGTTTTTATGAATTTCTGAAAAAATTTACAATTTTTGAATTCTTAGCATAACAAAAAATTTTTTTTAATTTATGGAAAAATATTCTTTCAAAATTCAACAAACTTTCTCCTAATTAATATTTTTCAGTATATAAAATGAGAACTTTTCAACATTTTTGTTATGCCAATGAAATTTTTGAACGGAAAATACAAAATATTCAGCATTTTTGCTTTAATTTATAACCTATCTCACATTTTTGACACATATTTTGATATTTTTACAACCTATTTAGGTACTTTACATTTTTATAACCTATAAATCGGATCTCTAATAAATAAATATTTATAATCATTAATTAAAAAAGAATTTTACATAAATAAATTTAGAAAAAGTTTGTTTTTAAAATAGTATTTATGGGGTGTCTCTGAGTATTAAGCTTAACAGATATAACATTATTTTTTTTGTGTTTTATTTATGGCAAACAAAATCACAAGTCTGCAAATATTTAACTATTTTTAAGGGTTGTTTATTTCGCTAAAAATATTTAGAAACATTGTAAAATAAAAAATTGAAAGATAATTAGAAAATTTGATCTTTTTCCGAATACAAAAAAGATTAATTTTTTTAGTACAGAATTACTATATTCCTTTAGACTAATTAATTCACATGTTTTTCATTCTAAATTTATTTTTGTTTACAAATCCTTCTATTTATTGGACCAAAACAGAAAATATTACCCCAAAATTAAATTTAGTTTTTCTGTTTTACTCTTTTCTCGACTAAATACCAAAAAATAAATACTTTGTCGGTCATTAATTTGGAAAAAATGTTTCTTCTCATGCTTTTTAATGTTTACTCTAAAAATTTTTATTTTGGCCTTCTTTAAGTGAATTTTTGTAGCTATAGTTTACACCTATTAAATGGTCTTAATCTTTTTACTAGATGGCATCAAGCCTATTTTGTAGCAACTTTTATTAGCTTTAAAGTTTAAACAGAGCCCATAAAATTGGAAATTTGAAAAAATAAATAAAAATCATACTAGAGTAGTATAATTTAGAAGTGTAGAATGTCGAAAACAAAAATTAATTTGAAAAAAGCTGTTAAATTACTAATTATATGCTATAATATTTTACAAAATTTTAAATTACTAATAGTTAATAATTGTTTAGTTGAAATTAGGAGTAAGTTTGGCGGATCGGGGTATCAGATCCGAAAAAAATCTCGGATGCTGGATGATATCCAAAAATTTCGGTTTGGATATTTTCTTTTACTATATATTATAAACTGAAATTTATTTTATAAGCTGAATTTAATTTGCAGCTAATTATTAATATTTTCACGCCAACGGATAAAAACTAAAAATAAACAATTTTATCAAACAAAAATAAAATGGTATGCCTAAATAATTTACATAAATAATTAATTTTCTTTAAAAATATTTCTTTAATCGAGTAATAATAAAGCATTTTGTGATAAATAAAATGTTTGAATATTATTTCCAGAATTTTTAAATATTTTTGGAATTCTTTCACGTATTTCTTCAGAAAATTTTTCTAACCCAATAAATTCATTTAATTCTTTTGTGTCTTCTTCCATTTCTAACCCAACTAACCAAAATTTACATAATGAACCACTAAAAATTAATTAAATTAAAATTGGGAAATTTATGGTTTAAAAACAAAAATTATCAAATTTAGAAATATTTAGGAGGACCATATTATTTAAAAAAAATTTGCAAAACTTTAGAAGGATTAGTGTACCAAATATAGTCAGATCCCGATTTTACATACACTTTGTTCATCACTAAATAAATAAAAACGAGATCCATATGTAAATAGCAGCAGTTATCCATCGACAATTAAGCAGTAGAAATAACGGGATTTCATTTAAACCGGCCGAGCTTAATAACAGCCGTCTCCCTCGACATCTGAGACACTAATTATGACGCCAACTAATAGATAAGGATATTTTTTAAAATTTTTCCTAAATTTATTCAATCTCTTTAATAAAATTAAAATTATACTTTTCCATTTTCTCAACAAATTTCTTTCCACCTTCAACAAAACATTTATTAATTGGTTCTTTCCATAAATGTGTATAACGTAAATTAATATCTTCAATAATTAAATTAATTAATTGAATTCTAATTGTGCTCTCAATAAAAAAACAAAATTTTTCCAAATTTTTGTTGTTTTCAGAAATACAAGAAATTAACATAAAATGTTCATACTAAAAATTAATTTTTTTTTAAATTATTTAATTAAAAAGTGTGTGTCTCTTACTTTTTGTAAAAATTTATTTTCATTTCCAATTAATTCTTTTAAAGCCAATGTAATTTTATTTTCATTTTTTATTTTGTTTAATTCTTTCATTTTTAAATAACCTTTAAAATTATACATATTTGAATATAATATTTAATTAAAAAAATAAATTCACCGATTTTACTTATCGTCCTGGGAGTATGGTTAAATAAAATGAGAATTAACTTTAAATTCACAATAGATATCTTATTTCAATCTGTAAGATTATAATTCCGACCATTAATTGAATTTTAATTGTGCTCTCGATTAGGGTTGTCAGCTTCAAAGCGGACCGAACCGAAGATTTTCGGTTCGGTTTCGGTTAACCAAAGAATTTATGAAACTGACAGCCTTACTTTCAATAAAAAAACGGAAAGACATTTAACTGTATTACAGAAATAACTTTTATCTATTAATAAGTCTTCTGAGTATAGAATTTCTAAATAAACCTAATGCCTCGTTAAATTTTGACAATTTAGAAGGCCCTCATTCATATTTAATTTTGAAAAATAAATTTACAATTATTTACCTTTAATTAATTCCCTCTGAATAATTTCAAAAGTTGAAAGGTTAACATTAAACATTGTATTTTGTTCAGGATATCCAGGTGTTATAATTGTCATAAACATTGGAATTAAATATTTTAATTTTCTTTCTTTATTAATTTCCTCAACATCATTTTTAGTTAAATTATTTTTTGATTTAATATCCAAATTATAATTCCATCCTTGAGAACCAAAATTTGTTAATTTTTCAATTTTTATTGGGTATTTCCAATTCCTTTAAAATTAAAATTATTTTTTAAAAATAAAAATTTAAAAACCAATTTAAATAGACAAAAAAGAATTTTTCCAACAGAAAAAGCACAGAACCACTAGGAAATAAAAGAATTAATTTTGCTGTTAAAATAGATAAAGAAGATCCATTTAAAAAGCCATATTTCCCTCCGTAAATGAAATTACCTTAAAAAATACATAAAAATTATTTTAGAATATATATCCTATTTTTAATTAATATAGAAGTAACTAGGGTGAAG